CTATAGAATTTAGATGGTTTCATGAGAACTTCAGTGAAAATCATAAAACTATATTAATCATTTCGCTCTAATTCCACAAAAATTGTGGGAGCACAAAAGTTCCAAAAATTTAGAAAAACTTCGAAAACTTCACAGAAGCATTTTTAGAACTTCATAGAAGTCCAATTACTCTTCCAGATGATACAGTTGGTTTGCCTGGGTGAAAATTCATCCACGAGAAATGGACGTTTAAACTAATTGTTTTCATAAATGGCTCATTGACACTTTTTACATGTTCGCCTGAGAGAAATCTTCAAGATCCTAAAAAAAAGAATAAAATTCTGACCCCTGAAAAATGTTCAGGGTAATAATAATTCAAAGAATTTTAAAATAATTTTTTTCTAGAATACCTATGAACATTTGAGAACAGTTCAAAAAGAAATGAACTGTTAAGGAGGATTCAAACAGAACTCCAACATAGTTCTGAGATAAAGTGCTAAGGACTTCTTGCATAAATTCCCATGAATTTCAAGAGAGAAGAAAAAAGGGTTCCGAATAGAAATTCTTGGTTATTCTTAGAAGAATTCAAAGGGGGTTGTGAGGAGAACTTCAAGGAGAATTGCTTGCTGATTTTGAGAAGAATTGTATAAGGATCGTGAGTAGAATAGTAGGTAAATTTTAATGAACAGGGAGTTATGCTGAAAATTCAAAGTGAATTATAAATCAAATTTAAAGGGTGTTCAGAAAATAATTTCAATGGAATTTCGAAAAAAATACCAAAGGAATCGTATGCTAAGGAAATCTCCAGAAATATATAGGAAAGTTTAAAATAAATTCTAATTAATGTTTCCAAGAGAATTCCACCGATTTAACATGATATTTGGATTAGGGATTGATAGAAGTTTATTTGACTAAAGTTTAAAGAAAATATTGAAAAGATTTCAAAAGTAATCGAGACCTCAGGATAGCTTCAAAGGTTTCTTAAAAAGTTTCAAGAATATTTTTAGGAGAGTTTCAAGGGAATTCCAAGGAGAATTTTAAGGAGAGTTACGAGGAGAGTTTTCTGATATGGTTATGAAAAATAGCATAATACTTCTGAGCAGAAACTCAAGGTAAATAAATAAACAAATAAATAAATAAATTAGAGAGGATGCAAAACAAACTGCTTTGGCAACCTATGCCTAGGTGATTTCTAGCAACACTGGCAATGCAATCAAGATAGGCGCTGCTGGATTGGCTATGGCTTTGACAGTTCATTTGGCTCACAACCAGCCAGTCCGCTCCTCTCTTATACTAAATCTTCTCCAGTTTTCATGATTCCCCGGTTCGCTGGTCACCCTAATTGAACTTTTTTTTTATTGTAATAACTACAACTCGTTGTAGGTCATTCGTGGCTACTCCGGGGGATGAAATTTGAACTCGTGACCATCAGTGTGAGAGCTATGGATGCTAAATACGGCGTTAGGCCCGTTCTATGTTGTTTTCCTTTCTGAATGCGAACGTTCTTACACTAGCAAAGCAAGAGATAAAGTTTTACAGTAGTTCGAGAATAATGTTAAACATTTTGAAAGGTTAATGGGGGTTGCTACAGTTCGTTAAGGCCTACTAAATGAAAATGAAAACAGTTACGTTGATATTGAAAGCCCCTTTTGTTACTCTTATTGCATTGGTATTTCCGTTTTAGGGAAAATAATTGACAGCCACAGCATGCTATTAAAGCTGACATTCTGACACCAAATGTTATTTTTTTCTGAATTGACAATACTAAATTTCAGTTTCACTCGTAGAATGGTCAAAAATTGGAGTTGGAGTATTGGGGGAGTTTTTGTTAAAGCTATCTAGTTAATTCACAGTTCTCAGATCAATTATCGTCCAAATAATGTAAGAAAATAATTGAAGAAATGAAGAAAATAATCCAAATAATGTAAGAAAATGTAATAGCCCAAGGCTTCGAAATAATTGGCTTCGCAGATGATATAGTCATAATTGTACGAGGCAAATATGATTGTATTATCGCTAACAGAATGCAAATTGCTTTAAATTTTGTCTCATCGTGGTGTGATAGGGAAGGATTAAACAATCCTTCTAAAACTACTATCGTGCCATTTACCCGAAGGAAGAAATTTTCATTAGACAACATAAGATTGAAAGGCACACTTTTGGAACTTTCTAATGCTGTCAAATATCTTGGAGTAATCCTCGATAGTAAACTTAATTGGAATATGCATCTAGAGCAGGCAATAAACAAAGCTTCTAATGCTCTATGGATATGCAAAAGAACATTCGGTAAACAGTGGGGACTGAAACCGAAAATGATCCATTGGATTTACTCGGTAATTGTGAAACCCAGGATTACTTATGGTGCATTGGTCTGGTGGCCAAAAACAAAAGAGAGTGTTGCTCAGAGAAAGTTAGAAAAACTCCAAAGGTTAGCAACTCTCTCAATAACAGGTGCAATGAGAGTTACCCCATCGAAGGCATTGGATGCTTTACTTTATATGCTACCATTGCATCAATTTGTACAATTAGAAGCGGAAAAGTGTGCTCTAAGGATTACAAGGTCAGTGAAACTCTTTGAAGGAGACCTTAGAGGACATCTTAGGATTCTTAAAACTGTTAGTATCAACTCTCTAGTAAGGAACAACGAACACTGGATGAAGAAAAGATACAATTTCAATCGACTTTTTCAAGTAGTTGACCCTGGGCGTAATTCATGGCAATTTGGTGGCCCGGTTCTTCGTCCAGGATCGATTGTTTTTTATACAGATGGTTCAAGATTGAACAATCAAGTGGGAGCAGAAGTAACTGGCCCAGGGTTAGAAATATCGGTTCCTATGGGCAGACTGTGTTCCAAGCTGAAATCCATCAATTTTAGAGTGTTCCATTATATGTTTGCGTAGAAACTATAAGAGTTCAAATATATGCGTCATGTCCGACAGTCAAGCTGCTCTAAATGCTTTAAAGTCGGCGACATGTACATCAAAACTTGTCTGGGAGTCAAAAATTGTCTTGTCATAATCAAGTCAACTTATATTGGGTTCCTGGTCATTGCGGGATTGAGGGAAATGAAAGAGCTGATGCACTAGCAAGACTCGGATCTTCTCATAAGTTCATCGGGCCAGAGTCCTTTTGTGGCTTATCGGCTGCATCTCTTAGAATGGAGCTAAAAGCGTGGGAATCTTCAAAAGTGGAGGAAAACTTGAAGAACACTTCTATTGCTAGGCAGTCGAAGCGATTCATTAATCCAAACATTTCTGTGACCCACAAAATCCTGGAACTTTCTAAGAAAGATCTTAGTATCTATGCAGGCCTTATAACAGGCCATTGTCCGAGCCGTTATCACTTGAAGCTGATTGGAAAACTTCAAGATGATGTATGTCGCTTCTGTGGCATAGAAAAGGAAGACTCGGAACATTTGCTATGCCACTGTCCGGCAATTTTCAATAAAAGGCGTAAGTTCTTCGACAATGGGATAATAGAACCCTTTGACATTTGGAGAACAACTCCCAGTACGGCAGTGCACTTTATTCGAAGTATAATGCCGTGCTGGGATCAAACGATGGCGATCACACCTAATAATAGTGATACGGCATCTCGATATAGCTAAAGAAAAAAAAATGGGGAATATATCACAATAGATCAGAAAAATGACAAGGAAAAGAAAAATAAGATGAATCGGCGCCGGTGGTGTAGTGGTAAGCGTGATTGCCTTTCAGGTACTCAGTACGGAAAACAAGATCGACGGAAACAAATCAAGGAAAAAAAGTTATTATGATGTGGATTTAGATTCACAGCATCTGTTGCTAATAATTATGAGATAATCACATAATTATCGATACAACATAAAATTTATAGCCCATCATTTCGCATCAAAAATATGATTGATAACATAACAACATCACTCCGCCACGACACACTCACATTTATCACCTCATCCAATAAGCTCTTTGCGAACCTCACTCACCCAAATTGAATACAAATGTATGCTACTGTCTATCATCTGACGGCAAAGGTGCTGTGATACCTCTCTCAGGTGTCATAACCATCATCATCGTCCTTTTTTTTGCCGTATCTCCATCGATAACCAACGACTGCCAACGACACACCAAGCAACATCACGGCGACACATAATAATATGTAATTTGGTAAGTGATCGGTAAGTGCGGTTCAGACTGCTCCCAAAGGTGATACTTAACTGTTCAATGGCTTCATTGCTCAAGCATCACTCCAAATGTAGTACGAAATATAGAACTTTGAGATACTGTTCTGAGCTCCTACCTCATTCATTATCGGGACGAAGTTTCTGACAGCTAAACTTACTCAACCCGTCCACCTTGCTAAGCGAAAGAACAGAACGTGCAGAAAGTCTCGCCCCACCACGGTTAGAACGTGACAAGTGAAAATTCGAAAAATTGCTGACGGCTTAAACTATTTATTATTTGCGACAGCTGCTGCTGCAGACAGCTCCAAGAGCACAGCAACGAACACATGTACATACCACATCGGACCCGGAAACCAGTAGAACGCCAAACGGCCTCTGCCATTCCAGCACAAAGTGCCAGCGCTCAACTGACTATGAACGGGATGGAACTTGGGGGGGGGGGCTACATAAAATAGAGTCATTGGGGAAAACGTCACCCACCCTGCGCTCTCTCCGAAACTCATTTAGTCGGAAAATTAGGTTATGCATTTCGGAACGAATGCTTGGTCCCACTAGGATCGACATCTCTTTCTATCAGCTGAGCTTTCGTCCGCATACATAGCGAAAGCCTACAAAGCTATGTGGGAACAGATGTTTTACCGTGTCTATCCGGCCGAAGCTGCTGACTTTACATTTCCAGCATGTCATTGAAGCGGTGAATTTAAATAAAATATTAGGTTTCCGCATGGTCGCCACCCACCAGAATACATCTTTTTCTGTCAATGAATATCATTTCTTTTTGGATGGCTTCTTTTGCTTTCAGGATAGCTATGTGTGGAAAAGCGCTCACTCTTTCTCCTTTCGTTCGTATTCCTTTCAGATCAAAGACATCACCCGTGCCATCAAGAAGGCAGTCGTTGCCGGCTCGTTGGACGAAGTTCGCTCGAAAGCAGCGGAAAAATTCGGACGTCCTGAACTGCCCAACATCCACCTAGACTCGGACGGGACCGAGGTGGACGACGAAGACTACTTCCAAACGCTGGAACCCAACGCTGAACTGATAGTCGTCTTCCCCGGTGAACAGTGGATTGATGTAAGTATTGCTGGAAAGTTTCACGTGTATTGAAAGCTTTCCCCATCAGCATAGCCATACTGGAAAACTTATATTCATCGGTGATCAATTTCCCCCCGGTCCCTTCTCAGCACTCAACAATTTAGCATTCCAAAGCACAAAGTTATCCTTTAGTCACACAACACAAGTTTTTCCAAGATCCGTCGACATGGGTCTGAAGTGTTATCACCATGAAGGTTAAGTCTTATCGTTCCCTTTGGCTGTTCAGATTTGCCGTAACCTTACCGGTGCGGTTACTGTACCGGTTGCATCAATGCCACGCGCTGTAATCTAAATTTCACTTTACGAAGGCATAAAACTTTGCTCCTTTTCCGAGCACACACACAACCTGTCAAAAGTCAGTTGGAAGAAGATAAAGCATGATGGGGAATTCTGGCAGACAAGCAGGTGCTTACGTGAGAGAAAAATGCGATGGATGTTTACACAAACTTGATCAACTGAGGAGGCATCTTACAACTTGTGAAATTCTTGAAAGATGCAGACAAGGACCAGAGTGATTGGCACGAGTGGAGCGAACCTGTCCTGGCAGTAGAAGTAGCATATTTGTGTTAATTGTTGAAGAGAGTTTGTAGTAATTAAGTGAATCAACGCAGCAATTTCGCAAATCAACAAACTAGTCTAGTATTTAATTATTTTCAATTTTATTTGCATTTGGATGATAGCTCTGCGTTTTATTCTTAAACTACACAGTTTTGTTATTATTAATGTACTGATTTATTATTAAATTAGTTGTTTATAAATATTATTTGTCTCTTGTTATTTATTTTTGCCCTCCCTTCGACCTATTTGCGTCATGTCGGACATAAAATGAAAATAATATTAGCAAAGAAATATCAAGAACCTAAATGTAGGCGACAGTGTTTGCAAAATCAGAAATCAATTGATATGTTTCCGCTCTCATGCCCTCGCAATATCACGCGTGATATTGGAACAAAATATCATGCTTCATATTGATTTTACAAGCTCCTTTGATATTGCGAGACTATTCACAACGTGCAAAAATCAAGCTGAGAGCTGACTCGACACAAACATGATTCCGTTCCACATCGTTTTCTTAGAAAGAGAAAGCATAGTTTGCCATCTCTTTTTCATCTTCACCGATGGCATACGCGAAGGGACTGCTGCAAGCCTTTATAGAAGTTTCGGTTGCATTCGAGTGTAAAGCAAAAATCATTAAACTCAATCTCACCACAGTTTGGTGAGATTTATGGTTGGTTAGTTTTGTTAGCTTGATATTCCGAGCTGCGTTATCACAGCTTGCAAAATCAACCGCAGTTGTTTGCTTGTTGATTTTTGTCTACGAAAATCACGCGTGATCTTGGACGTTGGTGAGATTTGATTTTTTGATATTTTCCCAACACTGCACTATGGGGCATTTTCATACAACCAGGCGGTCAAAAATATTTCTATAATTTTTTCACAATTTCTGCTATTATTCTTGCTTTGTTTGATCAATATAAGGTGTGCGTTATCACTTTTCAACATTTTCACGACCAACTTTTGAAAAGGGCCTAACTTTTGATTAATTAAAATTTAATTTTTACGATTTTATAATGGTTACAGTTTCAAGCTTGTTTTCAGAGAATAAAATCTATTGAACAAAGACAACCTACCATGGTTTTATTTGGGGGAACACCGTAAAAAATAAAAATAAACCTTTTTTTTTGGAAATATGGTTATTTTTTTTTCAACAAATCTTCTGTAAAAAAAATACAAAAAGCCATGATACAATAATCAAAATAAAATATGTTTCAACGAATTTCTTTTTATTCCTCTGTTACAATATCATTATGAACAAATTCTTCTTCAATTTCATCGACTGCTTTCATAAGTTCCTCCAAGGCATTGAAGTTATTAGTATCGACTACTGAATCACTTGCAGAATTTTCAAATATCATGAAACTTTTCACAATGTCGGGATAATCCAGAGATACTTTTTTCTGTCGTCTTTTTGCCATCCAAATGGAACTGATCAGTGGGTCCGATTCATTAATGGCACGAATAAAGACATCATGTAAATTTTCTACTCTTGATCGTTTTCTTGCATGATGGGTTCGATATTTTTTCAATTGTTTATGTTGACTTTCTGCTGCCTCTTCCGCTAATGAACCAAGTGGTGCTGGTGAATGTATGATTATTTCTCCGGCATGAGCGAGAACTTTATGCACGGTTGCAGGAATTTTGTACCAATCATACAATTTAAGATAGAGCCTATATGTTTCCTTGCAATATGCATCAAATTTTGTATCAACTGCTTCTTTATCGATGACGCGACGTTTTCCTCTTTCACTCAAATCCAAGAAAGGTTTTGAAGGTCGTCCACGTTTTGTTCCAGAGATTGAGGCAACACATTGCTCCTGTTCGATGAATTCCTCGATGCCAAATTCTCCATCAAGCCAATTCCGAAAATACGACTCAAATCGCTCTTTCGTGCGATTAGCTTCATGCCATTTGTTGATGTATTTAGTAACGATTTTATGGATCTTTTCATCGAGACGTTTACGTTTTTCCACCGAGATGTTATAATTTTCACAAATGAATTCAATGGCTCTGTGAACATTGTCACTATGGCTTAATTTTGCGTCTAATATATTAATAGTGGTTCTATTATCCATGCTCACACTTGGTCTCAACCGTAAATTTGAATTACACTGTAGTAGTTTAAAAAAAAGCTACACAAAATACACTATGGCTTCAAATTGACACTACAGTAGGTTAAGCACAGACTTAGGTATAAATTAAACTCATCCGCGCATATGCGTAGGTACATACTTACGCATATGCTTCTATAATCGTCATAACCTAGGTACTTACTTTAGAATAAAGCATAAACGAATGTAGTTTTACGTTCATCCAACAGTGAACTTTATGATAATGATGACTTCTTTTTGTACAAAAGCTTAAGCCCTTTTTAAAAGTTGGTCATGAAATATTAGAAAATGTTCTTTAACAATATATTTCGACTATACCAACCGAATATAACTCCAAAAGTTGCAAAATAATTGTTGAAAAAGTTTGTTTCCAAGCCGGCTCTTGTACAATTTGAACTCTCCCATAATAACCGAAAATTTTCAAATCGCTTATATTTCCAATGGGGCAGGTTGGGGCAGGCAAACTCTTCAGTACTTGTTAGAATACACTTAAAACTTCATCCAGAGCTGAGAATTAGCCTGGGAATGTGCGAGACTCGAAAGTTTGTGATCAATAAAGTTAAATTTTCATTAATTTTCAATTATTTTTTTTCTATTTTTATTTTTAAATTTTTTTGCCTCCATCAAATTTTCAAATGAATTTTATTTTCGGTAAGCTTATTAAATTACCTTTTCAACGATGTATAATGATGTGGTAGTTATATGATAAATAGTGGATGAAATTTTATTTGAGTGGTAGTGTATTTTTGCGGCAAAATTTGTACTTTTCTTACTCTTTTTTGACTTCGACATCCGATATCTCAGAAACTAAAACTGCTAGAAGCTTGAAACTTTCAGATTCTGTTAGTTGAAATGTTTATTATCGACCAAAAATAACTAAATAAGGATTAGTGAAAGTCGATTTTTTGATTTTTGACCGCCTGATATCTGATAGTGCACTTGTAGGCGATAACAAACAAACATTAAACACTAAATGCCAGTAAAGATAAACCTATTAATCTGTAAGGAGACTTATTCAACTTTAAGTAATCTAAAATCTTAAAATTAAAAATATCATGTTCTACGATAAATTCAACGATATTTGTCATTCATAAATGTGAAAATATCAATTTAAAAGCCACTGTTCTCCCACCAGAAGCAGCTGGAAGAAATCATCACAAATATGGACAGACAGCCGGCGAGCAGCTAAATTTTCCTAGAAGGTGAAATCAAATTTCACCACATTCCGTAACGTTGCACCACACAACACAACACCCACTCCATTTCGTAAAACTCTCATTAGAATAATGCGCGTACCTCACATCCTCTACCGACCACCTCACCATGGGAGCAACGACATTTATATAAGGTCCATGCCAACAGCCAGCTTGCTAGTGTCAGAAGCAAAATTTATGTAAACAATGCTGAGCACTCAAGTGACGACTTCGCTCTACCACAACATTCCATTCTGCAAACAATGAGATTGACGTCACTGACAACAGCTGTTTCGTTTAAAAACATAAACATGGCAATGTAATACGCACACCACGAAACATTTCCACATTTCACTAACACCATTAAACCTGTTAGCCCGGACCTTATATAAATGACATTGCCATGGGAGGCCCTCCGTTTATCAACGTTGATTTGACACGTGTCAGACAGTACATAGAAGTACAGGAATCCCCCGAATAGTGCGGTGGGTGGTGCCATCCTTCCGCCGAAATTTTTCGACCGTACTCCTTCCAATTGAGCTGATTTCTTGTATGTGATTGTTTGTGTTCAACCATTAACTTATCACCTGCAGAAAATCAGCTCAATTGGTTCGAAGGCAGCGCTATTCGAGGGACTCCGGAAAAACAGAATTGAGCGTACCTATACTGCGTGAGATGTAATACCGAGAATTCCAATTGCTTTCTTTAGCTCTGTCGGATTCGAAATTCTTTGATCTCGTTGAGCTTCTCCAAGTATGTCTTGGAGGGGAAAAACTTTTTAATAAGACCATTTCGGTTTCTCATCATTTCTTTCTCTCGGGGATGGTATTTTGCTGAAAAGTTCCCAGGCTCCCACACGCAAAGGTAAATGGCATTCTTGTTCAGGTAACACGCCGGCGACTTTGCATCAAAAGTCTCAATTCACAACACTCGTGTGCTGTGGGTGGTTTTATTCTACGAATTGAACTCTATACCAGGTTAGAACTAGGATAAAAATAACTCCATCATTTTAGTGAATGCCGTTGTAGATTTTATGGAAATCATTAGGAAGTTGAAATTTTTAAAGCGCGCCAAACCATTTAAAACGAACGGCAGAAGTATGAGCAGCCGGGTTTGG